TCTAGCATTATTGGCTCCCGTTTGGTTAATGCCTACGATGTCAATAGCAAAACATATTTACTTAAATTGTCGAGGTTTTTAAAATTTATCCAAATTTATTTTTCATGGTTAGTCCTTCTTCGGACGAAAAACTGGTGCTGTTTATCGAATCAGGCGTTAGAATGAATTTGACGTCTTTTTCCTGGCCTAAAAATACAATGCCCCTTGCCTTCACCATGAAAGTTCGTGCTGTTCCACTTATTGTACTTCTTCTTAGCTTCGTAAGCATATCAAAAACAAAAAAATTTCGGACATTCAACAACTTGGAATTGATCGCTTGGTGGACATCACATTTGGCTTTGAGCAGTACGCCTTCCACCTTTTAGTTGAACTCTACGGCAAAGTGCGCTTTTTTTGTAGAACTGACGCGTTTTTAGGGGAATATTTTTTTAACAGATGCTAACTACATCATTCTTCATCTTCTCCGGGCACGAACGGATGCCGATCAGGATGTTAGATACGCTACACGTGAACGATTTCCCATCGAGCTAGCTAGGCCGATCCCTGAAGCTCTGGTTGATTTAAGCGATTCCTCCGGCTTGGAAAATCTTACTCAAACTGTTGCTGACCTTCTGGTAAATGCCTCGGGGCCGTGGAATATTGACTTACCGGCTGAAGATGCACAACGTCTTCCTGTGACCTCTGTGTTAAGTAACGCTTTCTGTAAGCCCCGTTTCGAGGAAGATACGTAATGTTTAGCCTACGGCACTGGTCTCATCGAGCACTGCTGCTTCCTTGCTGGTATCTCAACTACTAGACGAGGAAAGGCGGCTGAAAATTCCGATGTTGACTTTCAAATACCTTCCGATCCTAACGCTTGCCGTTTAGAATACAGCTCGAAAATTGCAAGAGCTCTTCGCGACGTCCTTTCTCATATTTCGGGAGCAAAATCCATTAAAGACGATGGCTCAACTTCGACACCAGCAGTTATATTGGGTGTGCCAAATCCTGCAGAGCCTGGGAAATTGAACAAGTCTGTTTAATTCGGCTTGTATATTCGATAAATATTAGATATGATTCTTATTATCCTCTCCGATTTGCTCATCTTTCTTCGAAACCTGGTATCGAATTCGCGTCTTTCAACAAAGCTGTTGACGAGTTTTATTCAAGTATAGAGATCCAAAGAAACGAAGTCCAAAGCATCCAGACCGTGAGCACCAAACAGATGATTTACTGTTGCCTTTTAGGCGAAGAGTGCAAACAAAAAAGTGGAGAACATCAAAAGAGATCAAGAACAGAGGCTTAAAGCTCTGAGAGAGGAGCAGATTGCTGATAACCAGAAGGCTCAACTGCTGGAAATGAACATGGACTTAGTCGACAAGGCAATAATGACTCTAAATTCAGCTATAGCTAATCAGACGAGTTGGAGGGTGCTGGAGGAGGTGTTGGAAAAACAGAAAGAACGTGGAGATGATCCTGTGGCCAATTGTATTGTCCGACTTCAGCTGGCTTCAAATCAGGCAGTATTGCGACTCACCGATCTCTACGCGGACGATGAAGATGAGGAAGCAACCACTGTGGAGGTTCTGGTCGATCTCGACTCCACAGCCTTCCAAAACGCCAAAAAGCACGTGAACTTGCCTCTTATTTAACCACCCAATTTCATCGGAATGGTTTGTTATCGTCCTATTTCTCTCAGATATTACACACATCGACGGCAGGCCGAGGCTAAGGAACGGAAGACAATTGCAGGCACTGCAATGGTGAGTTTTGTTTGTCTCACTTCTTAGCTCCTCTATTTTGCGCCTATTATTCACAAAACTCGATCT